GGAGATGACTATAATTGGGTGTAAGTAAATTATTATTATTAGTAGTGATAAAATAAAATAAAATAAAATAAAAATTAAATAATTAAATAAAAAAAAAATACAATTACAGTGCTAAGACTGCACCAAACCTCTCAGCTCATCATCAGGGTGTTGAAAATGCTTACTTACTATGTTCTCAAAGCAATGAAATTAAACAAGAATACAAAGATTCAAACTGCAAGAGGACCGAACATTTCAATTGTCATGGAAAGTTGTCCATTCATATTGACATCCCAGCTGCAGAAGCAAAAATAATGCTTCATCATAGTATGATACATAATAAGCTCAATGAAGTCACAGTGCCATCCGAAATTAAACAAACAATAAAAGAAAATTTGGTAATGAGCCCTGTATACTTATGAACATACCTTCGCAAAAGGTTTGATATGTCAAAAATTACTTCTAAACAGATTTATTACTGGTGGTCATATTACACACAGCAATTTTATAAATCTGATGAAAATCACATTATTTCTGTACGTATGTTCTTTGAACGCAAAGAGGATAGTGGTTGTAATCTATGTTTTCAACTTGAAACTGATTATACAACAGCCCTTGGTTTCACAACACCTTTACTTAACCAAGCATCAAATATAACAGAATTACATTGTGATGCAACATATAAAACAGCTAAAGGGCGTTTTGAGTTATATGGACTTGTTGGTAACGTCGAAGGTGCCGGCTTTCCATTAGCTTATCTTATTTTAGACACAACCAAAGCTTCTAATGAAGAAACACAGGAAGGTTTACGAACTGAAGCTCTTACGAGTTTTTTTTATGCTGTTCATAATAAAGGTTTAAATTCAGCTTATTTTTACACCGATAAAGATTTTGCTGAGATAAATTCTGCAAAAAATATATGGCCAGAAAGTGATATACAACTATGTCAATGGCATATTGAAAAGGTGCTTAAACAGAAGCTTAGAAGTTGTAAGAGAATTCAACATATAAACTATAAATATGAGGAAGTAGTAAATAAGTTTCCCTACATCAATTCTTCTTTTGTGCCCGATTTACAGCGAACGGATGTTGAGTATTATGCTGTTTGCCCATTAAAACTACGTGGAACCATTTTATTGATCTTGTTAGAAAGCATTTGAATATGCATCCCAAGATTCCTATTAACGCTAACAGTCAGTTTTTAACTTCTACTGAAATAAGATTAAAAGCAATTTATGAAATATATAATTTTTATTTTATTTTATTTTATTTTATCACTACTAATAATAATAATTTACTTACACCCAATTATAGTCATCTCC